TCACATTGTATTTCCTTTTCATTTGCTGTCTCAGTTTGTTTTGTACGGGCTGTTGTTATTGTGTTTAACTTCCTTTACTTCCTGACGTCTGTTTACATGTCTTGGTATTGGTTTTGTCGTCAGATAGCTAGGGTGAGCTCACATTGTATTTCCTTTTCATTTGCTGTCTCAGTTTGTTTTGTACGGGCTGTTGTTATTGTGTTTTGCCTCCTTTCCTTCCTGACGTCTGTTTCCACGTCTTGTTATTAGTTTTGTCGTCAGCCCCACAATTTATATTGATTACCTCCCTTGCACTTACCATGAAACACCAATAAAATCTGCTTTGACAGGAAACGTCTACACATTAATGTCCTATGATCGACATTATGCTTCAATGTCACTCTGAGCAATATTTATACAATATGATGTTGTACCTTGACTTCGTAACAAGCTTTTTCAGGTACTGAGTCAAGTGGTATAGGTAATCATATATATCACATGAGATGGAAACCGTCCGAACCGGTAAGTTTGGTGTTGTCCTGGTGATTGATATGCTCTCATGTTAAAATTGTTTTCTATTTTAATGTCAAAATGTATCTATGCGTGCAATGTGATACTATGCGCGTTTTGAAATAATTCTTTTATATAAACTATTCGATACTTATGTATTCAAAACTGTTTCTTTATAACATTTCAATTTAGATCTAAATATTGTTTCTTATATGTTGTTATTGTAATGACCTATAAATACAGAAACATTGCTTAACATTTTATAATTGTAGGATACTAAAGCTGTATAACGTTATTTTGTGTTGTTGGCATTGCTATCTAAGACGGAGGAAACTAGTACACGTAGTTACTCAAGGATCTCTAGAACAGTGTATTCATTAAACATTTAGTTTATAAAAATTGAAACGTATCACTGACAAGACTGTAAATCTCCTCTACATTTGAATATACACATGTTGGAATGTATGTCAAAGAAACTGTTGTTTTAGTTCGACACTATTTGCATTAACAATGATTATGTGAACATCATAATCTGCTTTCATTACATATTATGCAAGGGAAACTCAATAATGTTCTCTTGATCTGCTTTTAGGAATTTACAATGCTAGAACGCTAGATATCCTGTATTTTGCTTTGCAAATTCTCTTCCCAACTGCTGTTTCACATTATTGTGAAACGTACAATTTGCATAAAATTACTTTGGACTTTTTAATTGGACCTTACATTGATCATAGCTGAATTACTATTTACATCAGATAGTTAACAGGGTCATTAGTTCGGACCTTTGGATAGGGCGTATTACCATAAGATGGAATAAAATAATAACTTTATTCATATTAATACGATGCTTTCAACATCTTAGCCTTGTGCGGTCTACCAAATTAAATGAAACGAATTTTATACTTTATCAATTGGTCTATTGGTATTTAAGGTTATTTTAAGCTATCTCAAAACTTGACCAAAATGTATTCCTACTTTTTAAAGATAAATGCAATCAATTGATTTTGCATTGTATAGTAAATACGGATTAATATACTTGCATTCACAATGAATTCCGTATTTTGTTGCATTTAGGGATACGCTGAACACCTGGTGGCTACGATATCCGAATGGCTGATAGCTATTTTCATTGTGCTGTATTTCGTGACTTTCTACAAGGAGTTCCACAAGTTTAGAATGACATCTCCGCAGGTCGTTTTTGATATCAAGCCTGAAGTTGGCAATAATCATTTAAACAGTCAAAATAATTCAGCGAGAACAACGGGGACAGAGTTCGTGGTCCCAAATAACGTTCATATACCAGGATCTGATGAGGGATCACTACCATAATATGTCTTTACCATATATTAATATGTCTGTTTTCTGCGTGGAATTTGTGATTTCGATATTACATCAACATTATTTACTGATGTGACCAACTCTCGGATAAACTTACCTTGGCATTGGAAACAAAACACCGTGGTTAAGTTACTATATACGCTTTATCTATATTTTCTTCCATAACTGCTACGTTTATTACCTGCCCATAGTGTATTTTCTGAATAATTTTACAATTTCAGATGACATCATGTGACGTGTCGTCAAACCCTTTATGTTATGCGAGAAACAAATTATCTAACTCGTGACCGATTTTCATTCTCAATACTTGATTTTCGCTTATACATTCTATAAAACTAGATTTATGATGAAAGTGAATATAAAATGCAATCAATCATCTCTACTTCAATATTTTGTTTCGATATGTACGTAAACGTATAGTGTTTTGAAACAAAAAAATTGCATAAACGACCACAGTTGTTCCTATATACCTTTCATATTGTATAGCTTTGATATCGAAAATTGCTCTCATTCACCATGGGACAATTGTTCTCGTACACTATGGGGCAATTGTTTTCGTACTCTATGGGACAATTGCTCTCATTCACTATGGGGCAATTGCTCTCATTCACCACGGGACAATTGTGCTCGTTCACTATGGGACAATCGTTCTCATTCACTATGGGACAATTGCTCTTGTTCATCATGGGACAAATGTTTTCATTCACTATGGGACAATTGCTCCCATTCACCATGGGACACTTGTTCTCGTTCACTATTGGACAATTGCTCTTGTTCAACATGGGACAATTGTTTTTCGTGTCCACTGCACAGACGTTAACACTCACTCCCGTTTCCTTAATAATACTCAACATAAACTAACATTACATTGTAAATACTCTTTGTAAAGGTAACAGTTTGTGAAAAGGTAACCCGCTATGGTTTAACACTCAATATTCATGCATTGCTTCACATTATTTGGTCTTCTCGGTTTGTTTTTGTGTCACTTTTTCCGGTCTGTCGTTGAAAAACCCGTATTGTTGTAGACGTATCTCTGTTATGAAAGCTGTTTCCCCGATATGCATGTAATGACAATCTTCTTCAGTGATGGTGAAAGCGGAATTCCATCTTGAGGCGACGAAATGATACTCAGCTGACATTTTTACCCCCGGCATCGGGTTACAGTACAACTCCATATCACGCCGCAGGCGCTTAAAATAAAGTAGTTCCTCAAAGAAATCAGTACCTTGCATACGAATCTGGTTTTGAAGCCGTCGATAAAAATGATCGTACAGAGCGTAATCAAGCACTGACCATTTTTTGTACAGGTCAACATCGCCGACAGTGAACTTAATTTTCTCGTATAATTTGCTTTTTACATTTTTCTTTACATATAATATATCAGACATTCTCCAATTGAGAAGTCGACGCATTAATAGTAAAGATTCGTCAAAAAGTTCCACTATGATAACTAATTCAAACTCAGATTCTAATTTCTCTAAATAACCTTGTATACCAGTTTCATTTCGAGTTTCAAAAAGATCCGACGGGAAGCCGAACTCTCTTGCCATTCTGCTGTTCACGTAACTTTTAGAGGTCAGTTTTGTGTAACGTGTCGGTTTTTGTAAATATTTCGATACCGGTAGGGTATCATTAATTTTTAAAACCTCTCCGGGCCGGAAATAATTCAGAACCGATATAAAATGTTCGAAGGGTTCTCGTATTATCCCGATATAGACAGTGTCCTTCGGCATTACTTTCTCAAATGCTACTCTGTCGTATAAAACATGACAGCAGAGAATTTCATAGGATCTGTTTGACGGAGGCGGAAGAATATTCGTTGAAGTCACTGATGTTCCAGTACTAATGATGTTTGGATAGAAAAATTTAGGGACATGTGGCATAACCACTAGTAAATCCCTGTGCCTGGCAAACCGAAGGAAGATGTTTTGAGCTGTTGAACTTGCTGCCTTATGTACTTTCAAGAAGGCGATGTGTCGTTTTTCTTTAACATGGCCTTCGTTGTTTATGTTATCTGCTTTCCAAAGAAAATGTTCCCAATGTTTTACTCGTCGAGATCCAGAAATTGAAAAATACTGTAACTGTATGACGATTACCATTAGTATAAACAGCAGACCCACCAGTATACCAACCCTACAACAACAAAATTAATAAATATGATAGCAAAAATATTTACAATATTGAACTTTGTAAAGTATGTTTATCAGTGCATGAAATGATTGCAATAAGGTCACTGAATATCGCCAAAACATAAAACAAAATATGATATAGGAAACTAACGCAGCACAGTACATGTATATATTGATATAATACTTCTCTATAAGTCTTACACATGTAAAACCAATAATGGAAGAATTTTAATTAGCATTACTCTGAATCCAATATCCAGAACATGTTTGGTTTATGGCGAAAATGAACGATTTTTGTCAAACTTCAAAGCTATAATATAGCGTCGTCTGACTAAAAAAATGAAGAAATATAATTACAGTCGAACCTCGTTATCTCGAACTCGTATAACTCGAAGACCCCGTTTAACTCGAAGTATTTCATCGGTCCCGGCTAAAACTCTTCTTAATCTTAGTAATAAAAACTCGAAATTCGAACTCTGAAAACTCGAAAAACTCGGATATCCCGAAGTGAAACATCGGTCCCAACAACGAAAATCCTACATAAAAATATCTCCTACCTCGAAGTTTCTTAAGATTCACAAGTCTATCATATACTCTTTAATTATTTGATACATATAAGACGCAGTGCTACGGTAAACATCGTTCTCATAGAGCAGCTTACGCTCGGTCATAATTACTTCGATTAAACTTATGGCATTAAAATGTGTTTGACTGTAAAAACACTTTGTACAAATATTAACAACAATTAGTACTTACTGCGAGCCCGTAAACAATTTGAATAGCACTTTATTTACACCAAAGTTGCCGACACAAGCTCCACAGTAAAATCACAACTTAGGACTGGTTCGTTGGTTTATGTTTTTACAGGAGCTGGTATGGCACTGATAATTAATGGAGAGATTATAGGAACAATATGATAATTATTGTTGAGTACGTCGTGTTGAGGAGATGTCAAGTGTCATTGGGGTCTATAAATGTGGCTATGTTTCCTGATTAACTCATACCCATTTCGGAATGTCGATTTCAACTGAGCAATCCAGCGTGTATGCACCAATACAGTGATTTGTATAAAGACTTGCGCACTTTCATTTCCGCATTGAAATTTCTATCAGCATAGCACGAGGTCGGAGACAGCATGTGCGTTTATTGTAACATTAATTAATTAATGAATATGATTATGAATAAGTTAATTTTTATTTTATAGTTATTTTTTTGTCATCTATCGACTGTTTAAATACGTTGATTGTCAGAGAAATCAATGACATATATAGCCTCATATTGGACCAAACACTTTACCAAGCTTTATGCCAAACATAGGAACTCGCTTAACTCGAATACTCGGATAACTCTAAGTTTCCCAACGATCCCGTCGACTTCGAGATAACGAGGTTCGACTGTATTGCATTATTAAATCACGAGATCATGCACAGATGTAGCATGACTTCAACCTTGGTGACTTCACTATCAAAATTGAGTTGTGCCAGATTTGGCTCTTCCAGCGTTTCTCGCAAAATAATTTTCATTTTAAATGTCTGGGACATTTACACCTACGTATGTTTATATGTGTCAGCAATGTTGTATTATTCAAAGATGTTAAAAATTAGACTATCAACAGATAGGGGACACAGACTCCTAGTTAAGATTTCATGACAATACGTTTAAAACTACCATTGTCATTGTATTAACCAATTTTATTCTATAAGATGGTGCTATATTATGTATGTATACTTTATTGGGTTTGAATAAGTAATACTATTTGTGGTTCAGTCGATATGTGAAATACTGTTTTTTAACATCAAATATCCAATGAAGACATTTTGTAAAACACTTTTTTATTGTCATATTAACATAATATCCTATTCGAGAGCAACATCTATGAGAACCTGAGGAATGTCGTTAGATATTCTTTTGTTTATGGTGGTCATGAGAAAGGTAGTATTTAACAAGGTCAAATGAGCGCAGCAAACTGTAAGTCTTGCTCCAGCTTTAAGATGATAGCACCCTAAACACATTCATCAAACGATATATTCTTTGGAAGTTTTGTGCTCGGACATTATTCGTTCTGCTTTATTAAGACAGTGCGGCTCTTTATGAATTGATATTGCAGCGAATTACTCTCGTATTTAGATAGACTTTTGGAATGTATTCATGGTCATACTAAAATAGTCAGACGGCCGAAGTCAAAGGGAGATATTTCTTGCAAATGTATAAAACGTAGAAGGTGTTAATTAATAATATTCACAGAAATGAATAAGCAACTTAAAATCCACAGTGAAAATACCACCCAAATGTTTTATCTTGTATTTCTTGACCCTAAAACTATGCGTAATTTACAGTTTTGTTCATACTTCGGTGTTCTCTGGGTCAAATACACAAGTTTATTGTAAGTTTGGATACTCATCATTATCATTGACGCTGTTTCCTGACGCCATTTTACAAAAACATATTTAAACATTTCATCACTCGATGCGTAAAGCCAAAGTACTGCATCACATGGCAATTCTGTCCATTAAGGATTGATAAGTTTTACGAAAGGTCAAAAGATTGAAAATCGATGTCTAAAATGTTTCGAATAAATGTTGAACATATCGAAATGGATAAGTATTAAAAACCCCTTTATTACAACTTTTGGCTTTAACGTATACCTAAACTATTATATCATGTAATGTATTGCGGTTTAGCGAATGCCTCTCTTGGGCAAACGTGAGGAATACCATTTTTTATTGTCGAACCTTTTAATCCTGGCTAGCATCATTTCTGGTATAAAATGTATGATGTTTCAATTCGTCTATTCTATCGAGATGGAGACAAGACGATTTTTGCATCGTTCATTGCATTTAAAATAACAACAAACAAGCACTTATTCACTCTTCTTTTGTTTGCCATTCTTTTTGACATTTGTACTAACTAATCCTTTTTTAAATAAGTCATATGCCTCGACAGTTTTTCACGATTCTATACTCACTTAAATACTTAAGTAGTGTTGCGGTAAAAGCGATGATTATTTATTACGGAAGCCAATAGTTGCCAGGGAATAAATATATTTCTGCTGGCGGACGTAACATTAAATGTTTACTCATCTGATTTGGCGCCCAGGGGCTTTCGTAATGTATCATGTTCTCAGTGATGATAATATTTTTACAGAAAGATAAAAATCAACGATAAAACATATTTGTTAATTATGCACATTGCAGTAAAAATATGCAAACTATTTATTTTCCATGTGACTAAATACATTAAAATACATCGGTTCCTAAATAGAATAAACCTAATTAATTTTTGAAAACAAAAGTACACTAGCTAAGACAGTATCAGCATTTGTTTTGTAGTGGATGTCTCATTGGAAATGAGAGAACAGAGCATATTTCATGGGAAAGGGGTGAAGTATTTAATTATATGAAGTGATTCTATTTCCTAATTTTATTAATTAATTCTGTTATAATTAATTCAGTTGTTTTTACACGTTCTATAAATCCATTTCCTCTTGTTTAACTTAAAAAGATGAGCAACACATGTAATGAAAAACAATTTGATATCCTCTGAATCTTAAAGCTGAACAAAATATCTTTTTACGGTTCTCTCTCTCTGTATATGATATATATAACTAGTCGCTGATACAACGATGTAGTATGCATACATTTACATCTGAACAGATAACACTTGTAATGTCTTTCTTATGGTTTGTCCTAACTCAACTCATACAAAGTACGTCGGGAAAGTCATATCTCTATATATCTTTCTCGTTTTTTACGTAAAGTGTCTTTGTCAGACAATCTACGACTGCATCTTCATTATATTGTCTTTCTGTTTATCCAGTGTTCTTCTAATTAAGAATTGGAATGTTCTGCTTTTGATAGAAGAGGACTATTGATTATAAGTACGAGTATTATTTTAAATAATCTATATTTCTTACATTACATGCATGCTAATTAATATTAAATGCAATTGTGTAGATCAAAAGTTGTCGTATGGAGTGAGTTTTTTTGTACAGGTTATAAAAACGGTAAAGGGAACGAAGATAGGATTCCAAATTTGAAAATGAAACAGAGATGAGCATTTAGCAACAAGCAAGCCGACATCCATTTAACCAGTGGTTACCACACAGGCTCTCGAACACAGTCAAACTATGTTTTTTTAATATATTTATTGCTTTTTCAGTAGGGAAAATCCCTACAACAAGGTCAATATATGTCTTATATCAAAATGGAACAATAACACAAAGAGAACCAGGCTACTGCACCCGTGTTGTCGTCTGTTGTTGTCATTAGGAACTTTAGTTTTGTAACTCTCACTCGTTTCCTGAAGAGGCTTCACATAAGGGATATAAGACCGGGGTATCTTGAGCGCAAGAAGGACACATGGTGTTTATTTCCTCATTATTTGATCACAATAATTCAATCAAACACGCCGTTATGAAGATGAGGTGTACTTATATATTTTGTTATCCTATTTTATCAGCGTAAGTAAGCTTACAAGGGGGGAAAAACCAAAAAACAAAACACGTACCGATGATAGGGTCCTATTCTACAACACATTCCGGGTGAGCAAGGGTTCCACTAGCGTTTCACATATATGTTTAAAAAAGTAAAACTATTGAATTCAAATGTTTACACCATTCAGCGTTCAGTGGGAAGTGCACACATGCACCCTCATCAATGTGTAACGGAACACAACACAAGCGTCAACATCAGCCAGTGTCCAATGGAAGGCACGTAGACATCCACAGCAAGTTCTGTCCATAGAAAAAACAAGCGAACACACCATTAGGTGTCCAGCGGGAGACACACAAACGCCCACGACAGTCTCGTATCTAATTTGTATATAATGCGCAGGAACAGATGGGAATGTGTCAATACTGTATTAAAATAAATACTTGCGAGTGTACACATACATAAAAAAACATTCTGACATTGAAATCAATTTGCAATTTTTGTCTAACATGATATACTAGGATAGGGTTATACCGCACCAAAGCACTTGGAAGTAATAGGATAGACAAGCGAG